GGCCAGGTTAGGCGAACAGAACTTTTAGGTACAGAGAAGCAGCTCCCTATTGGATTACGTGTGTTAGTGTCTGTTCGGTGTATTGAAACTTTAGGTATGAAACAGACCCACCGAACGTACCGAAAAAAAAGTACACCAACAATTTGTGAAATTACAGTACTCTTGTTGTTGGGTGTTGCCGGTTGAGTGCTGTTCACGGCAGCTATCCTATGCCTAAATATGGGCTTGTATATTCTGATTGTCTGATCGCTGACAGATACGGACGCAGCGAAGCTCTCTCCTGCGCCCGCATGCGCCGAGATCCCACTGCTGTCAACGGATGACACTGCAGCCCAGTCGCCAGCGACGGCGGCAGCTGCTGCTGCTGCTGCTTCGTCAGGAGATGGGAACAGCTCACAAGGCGGCAAGCCACCTCCATCACCGCCATCCTGCCTGCTCTCGGACATGGCCTGTCTCAGCTCGTATGAGATTGATGGCTTGCGACGGCTGCTGGCCGAGCTGAACGTTTCCACGACGATGGTGAGAGTGTGTCCCGAGGAGCTGGGGGATCCTGGGGAGCTCATGTCGACCGTGGAGGTAAGTTGTCGTGTGTGATGTGTGTGGGTAAAACCGAAGTTACCGAAAATAAATCTCCACCGAAATTTTCCGGTTTTACAGTAGCCTATCTTCAGGGACATACATAACTATTGGCGTAGATTTGCTTAATCGTTATGCCTTGTATTCTCTTGTCAAATGTACACCGTAGATTCTGTTGAACGAGTATGAAAGCCAGTATTCTCCTCTGCAATGTACAAGCATTTTCCTGTGCAATGTATGCTGTATATTCTGTTGAATGAGTATGAATTCTCCTGTGCAACGTGCGCTGTAGATTCTGTTGAACTAGTATGAAAGCCGGTTTCGCGAGGACAAGGCCACTGGACATTTTATGCTCATTCCGGGAATACAATCTGAGGTATGGTGTGGTGAATTGCTGTGTGGTACTGCTGCTGCTGCTATTGCTGCTGCTGCTTCTGCTGTTGCTGATGTTGCTCTCCTCTCCATCCCTACCATCTGCCTGTGGAATATTTGACAGTGGCAACATGTACATGTACATGTAGTAACAGGTATATGTTCATGGTGTTTCTTTCCTTCTGCGTGTGTAGAATCTGCGTGTGTCGCCCGCACCAATACCTGGCAACATTGTGGAAATAGTTGCAGTTGAAACAGAGATTGTATGCAAGTCCTCAGCTGCTACTGCATCTCCAAGAAAGACAGCAGGTAAGCTACAATGACAGGGGCGTCACAGGGCGGTTGGGAGTGGTACAACGGGGGTGTCCCCCGGGAGAAAAAAATTCGGATATGTCGGCCAACAGGGCACGTTTTAGCGCTCTACAGCCACAAAGGAGGGTTCTCCCAGCACTTATCAGACAACCCCACTCGTACTCCAGCTCCAAAAATACTTCTCATAGATTTTTTGGTCGTACTTCGTAGGTAGCTAAAGCAAAAAGGAAGCCATTGCCCTCGAAAAAATCGCAAAATCCGAAGTACAAGCGTGCTGCTTGCTGCACGTTCTAGCGCCAGCCGCTGTGCAAAAACGTATGTTATTACCACAATGACGATGATATTGCTTTCACAACAATGACCACAACCTAACTGGATGATTAGTAGGAGCAGTGACACAGCCTTACTGCTCCAAGTAGGATTTAAAAGAGAGTGAAGGGAGAGCAGACCGGGCCGGTCTAAGCAAGGAAGTAATCGGCATCAGAGGTGAGCACGCAGCATCGCAGATTGTCTCGAATTGCGCATCACACCAGCGGCAAAATTGCTCCTGTGCATGCAAGTGGATTTCCTTGCACTTCTCAGTTTGGGAAATGCTCGATTATGATAATTCTGCGTGCGAGTGCACTAGCCCTGAACATACATGTAGGTGACCCGTTTGTGGTGTCTCATAGCCTACCTCATGACCTTCTGCTTTCTTCCTGCATCACTTGTATCTTGCAGGTATATCATTTCGTGACGACCACATTGAAGTCTGAATTTGAAGTGCGAAGATGCTTCAGCAACCACATCGTACTTTTCCATTGCTTTCATTGTGCTTCTACTGTGCATGTGTGTAACTTGTGGGGTATACATGTGATGACATTGTATGCTGGCGACACGGTCAGATTTTGTCCATGCGTGTAACGTACGCCTGCATGTTATGCATCGAAAAGGATCTGCCACTTGCGATCCTGGGACAAGTATCAGGTCAGCTTTGTCTTGTGTGGGCTGTACCAGATTGCTGTTCACTTTTCTATCTGTTGGATATGTGACTTTCTGCAAGTCTCTGGTGTATGGTGGCCACTTCTTTGCTTGTCACTTTGTATGATATTACATTCTGTATTCGCTGCTTTCATGGCGTGGTCTGCAAACTGCAATCCTTGGGCAAATGTCATGTTTGCTATAATGTGCTTTGGCCGTCAGCTTGTCTACACGTTGTAGTTGAATTATTTTGTTCCACAACTGACTTCCTGAAGTACGGTGGCCACTGCTTTGCATGGCATTTTACATGAATAATTTCCTGTTTGTGTCGTGTGCATGTGCGTATGTGTGCCGTGTGCATCCGCGTGTTTGTGTATCTGTGTGCGGGGTAAGCGAGGTGGGGAGCATTGACCATGCACAAATAGAGAAGCAGCAGATGGATTCATTGCAACTAGAGGCTGCGGTGCATAGTTGGGATAGTGAGGAAGGTAGGCCGTTTCCTTGCGCTCAATGATATTGTGCATTGCACAGCACAGCATGTTGACCTTGCTTACTAACTTTGGATCCTTGCTGTTGCTCTCAGCAACGACACGGAACCTCTCTTTCAACTTCCCTATAGCACACTCCACTACACGCCGTGTCCTTATTGGAGCATAGTTCAAACTTGCTTGAGCTGGCGCTAGATTGGGGTCACTGTAAATTTTCATTACACATGGACTCCGGCCAAAGGCACTATCTCCAACAACATACGGGCGAATGTCAGCATTCCCACATGTCCATGTGCGATAATTGAGCCATTCTCCAGCAAGCAATTTGGCTTAGTTGAACTGTATTAAAAACAGCAGCATCTGCAACAGAGCCTGGTGCACCTACATCCACAAACGTGAACTAGGCCGCGACTATCTACGCAAACAAAGAGCAAAACAGCAGAGAACTGTTTGTAGCAGCAAAAGAGATCACCAAACCTGTCAGGCTTGGTGATCTTCGTGAACGTACCATCAATGGCCCCACCACAGTATGTAGCCTAGGATTATCACCCTGATTATTATGATTATGCAATGTGTACTAGAGACGCAACTAACTTGTAATCATCCAAACCACAGAATACACTAAAACTAGCACTGATGGCATTGTGACCTGCAGGTGCTGCACGTTCCTATTAGTACAGAGTTTAGTGCTGGAAGTACAGTCACAACATTATAAGCACAGGTCGGAGGGCTGTTGAGATTACAAACGCACAGTCAGCTTGCTTGCTGTCTACAGCATTGGGTAATTGTTATTATTATTAAATTTTGAAAGTCCCCAGGATGATGGATGAAGGAGATGATGGCCTAGTCTTGGCTGCGTGCATTCTCATTTTCGCCTGTCACAGAGTTTAGCCACTAGTGTTTGTTTGTTTACAATAATTGTGCAAGAGTACATTATGTACTGTTGATTGTAGTAAGAGAAGGACAGTAGGCGATGGAAGTGGAGGAAGAAGTGGGCTGCACGCCATGCTCCGACAGCAAAATCTTTGCCTCCAGGGAGGAGCTGGAAGCATTTTTATAGGAGCAATTGCCACGGGAAAACTTTGTGGTCAGGAGTACGATGAAGGGCTTCCTTGGAAGGTGAGCTATAACGTGTAGTCTGCTGAATGTCCTTACGATGTCAAGTTGTGCAGTTGTCAATGTGGTCCGGAAATTGACCGCAAGTGTAAAACTACTTCCCGCGTGTGTCGGAATTACACTTACCGAAATTGTTATAGAAATAACATAAGGAGGGGAAGGTGAGCGCAACCGAAAATAGCAGTATGCGGACTGTATATGTGGTCACCTTGTGTTCATTGTCTTCCAGTGCCATCGATATCCTCGCGGCCAAGGACCTTCGACATGTCTGGCAGCATCACCGAATGTGTGTCCCTATTGATTTCCATGGAGTCCCCTTCTGCGTGCTCGGGCGGCAAGAGTGTCAGTTCGGGAAGGAAAGATGCCATGAAGCTAAACAGGTCGGTGTCGTCGGGGGTTATAATATGAAAATTATATTATTAGTCTGTCTGTACATGTTTGTATGCCATACGCTGCTCCGTGTGTATTTACCTATTCCCCAGAGCAATAAGGCTGTGTTTACATGAAGCGTTTCAACCCGGGTCAGATTTCAACCCGCCATGTACACAAAATGAATGGCGCGTTTACATGACGCATTGCGCTTGACCCGGGTTGAAATTTCGCCCCGGGTTGATTTCAACCCTCCCCTTGGGGAAATCAACCCTCCCCCCAAGGGGTGGGTTGAAATCAATCCGGGTCAAGAAAATCGTACAAACGTACTTCTGTGCGTATCTCGCGCCAGGTTTGAACAGCACTGCAGATGCAAATTTCGCGCGAACGGATTCACGTGACCATACAGGACTGTAGAAGTGGACTTTTGGCGGCATATCAGTATTTGACCCTGGTCAACTGTCTTCATGTAAACGCTCACCTCTTTTGTCTATCGTACAGACTTTCAACCCGGGTCGAGTTCCGGGTTGAAATTTCTCATGTAAACACAGCCTAAGTTCGATTCTGACCGAGGGGGTGGCGTGAAGGATGGGAAAACGAAATGAAGAATGTACAATGGTATCAGCTGCTTTGCCCTGCGTGTCCTGTGTGCATCATTCTGTAGTGTAGTGTGCCATGCCATCATCTGGCTGGACTTTTGTTGTTCTCTTTCTTCGTAGCCTACGGACACAAGCGACGCAACGCGGTCACCTGCGGACCAGGCTTCCTCGAATCCCAGCCATGAGAAGATATCGAGGCGGCTCTCTCTTCAAGGTATATTGGAGCCATTGCTACCTTGTGTCACATCCCTGCGCTCATTAACTGGCCATGACCCTTGAACACTCTCCGAACGGTCGTCCTGAAGATTGCCCGAACATTTGGATGACTTTAGCTTTTTTCCGTTTTAGTGGTTGGTGTAGCCCAGAGACCGGTTGGATAGTGTTGCGAATGTGTATGGATATAATCAAGAGTACATAACCCCCAAGAGTAATTGAGGGACTATAACAGGCCCCAGCCGTCATTTCCTCGTTCCTGATGATGGTCATAGACTGAAACGTTGAGTGAATACAGAATTTTTACTAAACTGTAAAAAACAGTTTTTGCAATTTGAGATGTGCCTGTTAGTCCACAACATATTTATTCATTACAATATAATGAAGCTGCAAGAAGCGTCCAAACTCATTTTTGACGCTTTTATGTCGTTGTTGTTGTTGTTGTTGTTGTTTTTTATTTGAATTCGCAATACCAAACGGGCAATAAGCCCAATTTCATGGAAGCGAATAAAAGAATGCTAAGAATGAGGCATTGGGGTGGATGTTATTTCAAGTGGAAAATACTGATCACGGGAGGTACTACAAATAGGTACAATGAAAATCTGAAAAGGCCATGGTACTGTCGTTTACCATGCTGGAAGCAGCTACATGGAGAAGGAAAAACAACAAGAACGACGTTTTATCTCATGTATTGGACAAACAGAGCTAACAGGAAAAGACCGTTCGTTATATGCCTATACATACTGTCCGTGTGTGTGTGGGGGGGGGGGGGGCATGTCACTGTTTCTCTTCTTTTAAAAACGTTTATGGCCTGAGAGTGTACGGGTACACGGCTGCTGCGAAATCGGCTACTGCTTTGCAGGAACGTACACTGGCTGGCAGAGTGTTCCACAGCGCAGGTCCACGGAAGAACGGTCGGCGAGTGCCTGTATTCGTCCTGGCCAGCGGGAGAATGAGCCCGGCGTTGGCTTGATGTCGAGTTGGGGCCGTGGTTGCGGGCTTCAGCTGCTTTGAAAGCGCTGTACTACATTGGCCGTTCAGGCCGCGCCAGATGAGATCGAGGAGTCGGTGGTGTTGTGTCTCCTCGATTTTCCGGAGGGATATGCTCTCCCTTTGGTGGCTTACCGAAGATGTGGGTGGTAGGCTGAACACAGCGCGGATGGCACGGTTCTGAAGACGTTGGAGTTTCCCTAGAGCGAAAGCTGAGAGGGACGTGCTATATGCCACACTTCCATATAATAGGTCGGGCATCACAACGGATTAAGGTATTGGACCCTGGCCTTCTGGGAAAGGGATCGCCGGGCTCGCCACAATGCTCCGACTTTCCTGTTCACCTTCGCTGTAACATCGTGGATATGATGGTCCCAGGTCAGTTGCTCGGTGATGGTTAAACCCAAGTACTTGGCCGCAGTACAAGCAGGTAAGCGGGTCTGATGGCAATTTACAGCGATACTGGTTTGCGCATCCCTCCCACAGATGGACAGAACTTGACTTTTGCGTTCATTCAATATCAGGCCGCGGTTTTCGAGCCAGTCGGCCAGCGCAGTGACGGATGACGAGAGTCCCAGTGAAATAGTTGCCGTGTTGGAACCACTTTGGTACAGTGCAATATCGTCAGCAAATTGTATGCTAGGGGTCGGGTGAGCTACTGCAGCTACCGCTCGGGTGTATATATTGAACAAGATGGGCCCCAATACAGATCCCTGGGGTACTCCACTAGTGCATACTGTGATGTTGCTCAGTTCGCTACCGATGCGGACTTGTTGTGTCCGGTTTGTAAGGTAGCTAACGAGCCATTTCATCACCGTACCGCCAACTCCAATTTCAAAGCAGTCCTGGATCATAATTGCATGCCGCACTTTGTCGAAGGCCTTCGACATGTCAAGGAAGCACACTCCAGAGGAGTCCTTCTTGTCGCGAGCCATTTGCAGCTGATCAACCAGTAAGGCTAGTGCATCACCCGTCGAGTGCTGCCGGCGAAATGCAAACTGAGTTTCCGGGATAGCGTCGGTGTGGTCGAGGTGCCGTACAAGCTGCCGCTGGACCAGCTTTTCCAGCAACTTTGACAAAATCGGAAGTAGCGACACTGGCCTATAGTTTGTCGGCTGAGACGGATCCCCAGACTTGAACAGCGGGCTTACAGCCGCCAACTTGAAACCAGCAGGCACTGCACCAGATTTCAGTGACAGGTTGAAGAGTGTGGTGACAGATGGTGTGAGGACCTCGGCACAGGACTTCAGGAGGAATCCTGGGACACCGTCGCTGCCCGTTGCTTTCGCAGGGTTGACTTGACTTAGTAGACGGTAGATTACGGAACAAGAGGCTGGCTGGAACGTGTGCAGGCTATCCGATGGAAGTGGGCCGACGGGAGAGGCTAGGCATGATGGGCGCTTTGGATCCGTCACAATGTCATGAAACACGTTGGCTACCTCTTCGATGTTGCAGGTTGGTTCGGTTTTCTGCTTCCCGCGTCCGGTGACGGTATTGATGACTTTCCAAATCTGGCGGGGGTTTCTGGAATGTTCTTGGCATTGACGTGCGAAGTACTCATTCCTACAACGGCGATACATGTTCGTTGCCTGAGTTCGAACCTTCCCGTACTGCTGGTGGAGTTGAACATTTCCTTTGTCGGCCATCCAAAGGTGATGATACCTTTTCTTCTTCTTGTCCAGCTGATAAATGTCGCGGTTTGACCAAGGCACAGGTTCTGCAGATTTCATTGCCCCTTGTACAAGCGGGGCATGTGTGTCCAACACAGTCATAAACCGATCGTGCCAGAGCTCCCAGTAAGTGTCGACATCGGCATCAGAGGGGAAGTCTTGCGCAAAGCAATATTTAAGGTCCTCGCGAAATAGCGGAATATCGATTTTGTGCAGCTTACGTGTTGGTGGAGCACGCACGCACTTCTTCGTCTGTACAGTAAAGGTCATAGTAGCACGGACGGTAAAGTGGTCACTTATGGTGGACGGAACAACCGTGCACGTTGACACTGAGTTCTCTGTAGAAAGGACTAAATCTATGGTGCTACCTTGGGGACAGAGAGGTGTAATCCTTGTCGGGGACAGCACGTGGTTTGTGAGGCTGTAAGCAGATGCGACATCTTCAAGGTGATGACGTTGCGCCATTCTCTGGCCTCGGAACATGTCCACATTGAAGTTTCCTACAACGGTCATTGATGTTGTCACCAGAGACGCTCTATGGAAGGCAGAGTCCAGGAGAGTCCAGTACGCGACAGGCTCCTGCGGGGGACGATATACACATCCGAACAGGTGCTTCTGGGACTTCGATCGCAGCAGTATCCAGACGGCTTCCACGCCGTCTAGGCGGAGATTTGGCTGTGGCGTGATGGGAAGTGATGATTTGTAGTAGATACATACACCACCTCCAGTCCTGTTTTCGCGGTCACATCTGGTAAGGTTATAACCTGGGATTTGTACTTCTCCGTCAGAGATCGCGCTGTTTAGCCATGTTTCGGCTATACACAGGATGTCGTACTTGGGGATCAGTGCGGTTAGAGCATGGACCTTGAAGCGGAGACTGCATACGTTCATGAACCCTAAGGACAAGTGGGATGTGTCGTGGTTGGTACATGATCGCAGATTTCGGTTGCTCATTGGTATGAAAGATGATGCTAGGGGATTTAGTGATGTAGAGAAAAGGAAGAACTAATGTGTGTGAAATTTCCTATCATTTTCAATGTAATATACATGACTATTATTTTTGTTGAATGAGGATACATTATGTAGCAATGGTGTACGTACGTCCGAGGTTGGGGCTTGTTAGCGACTGCAGGTGTCGTTAGCCGCCTGGCTGTGCCTGCGGGCGTTAGCGGCTCCCTGCCTGGCTCCCTGAATAATGTTGTCGGCTAGATCATATAGAACCTCGTAATGTGATCCTGTCCGGTGCAGAACACTACTCAAGGCATCAACCAGGAGCTCACAATTTGCAGCTTGGTTACCTGGTCTCTGGTCGGCCGTTTGTTGACTCTTCTTTTTCGGCCTACGGGCTGGTGTGAAGCCATCACTGTCGTCATCTTCTTGTGCCGTATCATCTGTAGGAGTGTGCTCAGCCCTGGACTTGCCACGCACGGCGGGGGTTGTCTGACCAGCCCTGGGCTTGAGCTCACTGGAGTTCAAGTCTACCGCAGCGTTGTTATCCTCAATAGGTTCAACTGTTGACGTACCATTGTTATCCTCAACAGGTGCTGTTGATGTTTTGGTCAGTTCTTTTTGTATCACAGTGGTCTCACGGGATGTCTGGCGGCGTGGGCAGCTACGGGATTTGTGACCCGGCTGGTGACACTCCCAGCATGTCGATTCTTGTCCCTCGTGCCGGAGGCGCAATCTTGTTTTCATTTCTGGTACAACTAGCGTGCTGGGGATTGACCTCAGGGGCGTACCGAGTATGAACCGTCTCCCGCTCTCAACCATCACATCCACCCCCTCTGCAAGGCGGACTTTGGACAGTTTAGGGCCCTGCTGGAAACCATGTGCGTTCAGGTGCCAGATCTTGGGTTCAAATTTGGCGGGACCTCCGTCAGCCATAGATGGCTGCTGTTCCGAGGACTGCCTCCACCAGCGAAGAGAGTACGCCATTCTTTCGACGCCCACCTCGACGTCTTGCATAACTCTCTGGTTGGCTTTGCCAGCCGACGGAACAAAGCCCGGCCCGAGTCTAAGGAGGTCCAGCGCCTCACTCGACACACAGTTGTCTAAGTCAAGAGCACATCCAGAGCGGTCTTGCGTCGTGACATTGTTGCGGTGACCACCTGCAGGCAGCTGGCAATGGGGGAAGCCCACGAACGACTGCTGCTGGCATAGACGCTCTAGCTTAAGGGTGAGCCGTCGTCGGGAGGCAAGTCGTTCCGCATGACACACAGCATTGCACAAGGCACGTAGCCAAATATAGTCTTGCTTGGAGTACGAGCGCAGGTCGGCCCTCCGCGCCGTGAATAGTCCATAGCAGTGGGACTTCCACCGAAATTTGTCCTCGATG